AAGAAAAACCTTTTGCTGCTCCAGCATCTTATAGGTCATTGTCAGCAGATAAATTTCTGCTTGAAGGTTCAGTTGATCCCAACGGAAGCAGTTGGCTCTCAGCCCTGCAATTGAGAAGAGAGAAGAATGATCAAAGTGAAGTGGTAGGATAAGAAATTGAAGCAAATAAAAGAATCAACCTATTCCTATATCAAGGATAAACTTGAGTATGCGCACACTTTACACGCCTCATGTTGATTATTCTGAAGAACATGATGAACAGAACAGCTATACACCAGCTTGCAGAAGGTATAGGAGATTTCCTTAAGAACCCCTCTCTTTGGTCTCCACCTATCCTTCCAAAAGGAAAATATATTAAAGTTGATTAATTGACATTTCTGCCAAATCCCATGCTAACGTCCAACAATATAATGTATTAGAATCCTAAATCAAGATGCATGCTAGTTTTCTGTATATTAGCTGCAGAAATAGCTGTTGGCACGAGCAGACATCAACAGGAATTAAACAATGCTGAAGAGAATGACAAATGAAAATACTCAGCTTCAGAAAAATTCTATGTAAGAAGACAAAATTCAGTAATGAAGAGGAAATAATGGCGGTCATATTCATTTCAGGTTTTCAACACCAAAGTTAAAAACAAAGGCAAATGTGTTTACATACCATCGGTTTTGCAATGACTCTGCTTCCTCCAATAGCATATTACGAGCTATAAACTCTAGTCAAAAGATGTAAGTTTTACATGTAGAACAATTAACATTCCATGTCATGATGTCCAAAAAATATGCTTAGGGTTTGTCATGTCTCCTTCAAATTCATTACGCAGAAAGCCTGGAGAAGAGAAAAAAAAAAAAATCAGCAAGTCAAGGCATATGATGAACTAGAATGGCATATGAAACTCCAAAAAACAGATGGCAGAAACCCATCTGCTTACCAATTTAGATGAAAAGAAACCAAGAAACTGGCGATTGGTATGGCAAAAGAGAAATGAATTCTTAAGTTATCCCTGAAAACATAAGGGAGTAGAAAGGTGAGTAACAATAACACAAAAGAGAGCAATCAGATCCATAAAACTGCATAAAGAAAAGAGTAACTTTTAACAGGCTCAAAAGCAATGCATTAAGTTACCAATTGGCAGTCCCGGAATAAACTCTTTAATCATTATGTTTCCCTGTGGGAAAAGATGGTTATTCACATTAAGATGGTCTTCACTGCTGTGCATCCTTTTTTGAGATCTTCATCTGTGTTTTTGTCAATAATACAAAAGTTTCTGGAAAGTAAGGTAAGACATAACAGCCATTGAATGAGACATCAAGAATCTAATGCAAAACCACATGCGCCTATTTCTTGAATACCATCAACAATCGAAACATAACACGTGCACATGCCTTCAATAAAGTAATTATTGTTCAAAACTATACAAAAACCCCTTATATCAAGTAAGAACAACCCCATCACCAAGTTATGGACATGGAACATTAGCTCATTTGCATTTTGCAACAATTTGAGTCCCAGTGCACAGGTGTTTGAATAGACATAACATGATGATGATAATAAAGTAGAATTTTGCATACGTCAACTTCCAAATGCTGCAGTCAGTCAATCCGACCAAAAAGCGTAGTTCCAAAAATGCTTCAATTTCTGCTGGTCCCTGCCAAGTAAAGGAAATAACATGTACAATTGAACCTTTAGGCAAAAACACATTTTGCTTTTACACTAAAAGTTTGATTGTTGGAAAGGTAAACTTTAGGGGCGAAAGCGGGGAATTACCCTTTAATAAACACTTGAATTCTAGTTATATATCTTATACTGAGTACGAAAGATTTGAACTTAGATTTCCAAATATTTCCTTCCAATTCTGTAACTGATTGCCCAAGGACTAGTTGCATATCAGAGTAATTTTTTTTTTCTTCAAACAAAGAAATATTCTCAATTTAATAGAAGAATTTACTTATGAATGCGTTATATCTAGTCATGACACTTCCCTCCAAATGAATGGCACAACCAAACATCTCCACCAAAATCAAAGGTGTTAAGCATGCTTGCCCTGGCTCAATTCTACAAAAAAAGACAAATGCTAAAATGACAACTAAAACAATACATAAAATTAATCAATTACAAGAATTCAGAGAGATAAACATACATTTAGTGGTTCAGTGATACTATCTTCTTGATTTGTAAAGGTGGCTTGAAGCACCCCAGTGTGAACTTCTTTTTTTTTTTTGAACAACAGCAATTAGTACATATTCTAGGTGTATGGGGACGGGGAAAGGAGATTCCATGGGACTTGAAGACATAACTCACGGGAGGTGATCTCTATTAACCAGTAGTCTTCGCCACTAGGCCGGAGCGTAGGGATTGAAATACCTCAGTGTGAAATTAATTATGTATTCACAACAGAAACCAATTGGCACATATCTCTGCAGAAACTGCAGTGCCTCCACTATAGTCGGGGTTCATAAACCATATTCACAAAACAGCTCTTCAAATCCCCAACCCTACCATCGACACCCTCTTCCGTTTTAGTTACGTGGGCAGGACTAGCATCACCCAGGCTCACCGTCCCCATGAGTCTCAAATCCTGTGACGTGTGGGAAAAGATTTGGGATAGTTTTCTTTTGCCATGGTTTGAATTAGAATTTGTGAAAGTAAAAATAGAATGTAATGGGGAATAGAAAAAAAAAAAAATTTTTTTTGCATCATTAATTTTTTTTTAAAAAAGGCGTGCTTTGCTGGCAACTTAAAAATGAAAGTTTAAAAATAAAAGTTGGGGGACCAAATCAGATTTTAACCAAAACCCAACAACCTTATTCTCTCTCTTGTCAACCCTCTCTTTCCAATGATGTTGCCAATATGGTACATTAGTTTTTATTTTTTACAAAATTTTAAATATAAAGGAATCATTTCTCTTTTTAAGATTCAATAATTTGTTTTAAGTAAGAAAAAATATTAAAAGAGTCAAGATCTAATTAATTACATTGATATAATTTATTTAAACTTTTATATTAGTTATATATAATTTTTTTGTATAATTTATATTCTATGAAAATAATGGTTGAATTTAATTTATTTATATAAATTATAGATTTCAAATTTAATGTTATTTT